TTTCATTCAGACATTTGTGTAGTAAAAAGCCACTTAACACTATACGACGCCACCGCTTTATCGCTGGTAACACTTCACCTGTGGGAAATAAGTACAGGCGCAAAGGTTTGGTGACGGCGCATTTTAAACATCCAGACATGTCTTCACCTTCATTTCGTAATTTCTCCCGAAGCCAACATGACGGTATGCAAGAGAAAAGCAAACATAAACGGGCCACATTCAACCATCTGTTACTAATCCCGCTTGAAGTGGTCCGCGAGGTGGCAGCTACGTTGCCGGGTATGAAGAGGTACGAAGTAAACTATTGATAATAGAAACACTGACTAGATGGCGCAAGTTGCCGCCCGATTTAAATGGTTCCGTCGTACGCATCTGCTCACCCACCTATAGACGCTTTACAGCAGCTGTGCATGGGCGCCGCCATAACTGACCTTCAGTTTTTGTTCCCTCTTATTCCGTTCGCTTCACTTCATCATTACCACAGCAGGACAGGTTATTGCCATTTTAGATGCTACTGTGTTCTTGTGCCCAGCATAAGCCCTTGTGAAGACCCGTCAACGCCCGGTTCAGTGGCTCGACATCTCGGTAAGACAAGAGAAGGGCGGCTATGGCGGCTCAATCTGGCGCGTGTGTAAAGCGTCTATAATGCAAACATCAGTGGCCCCTCTGCAACGGGACTTCAGTTGATGATGTCGGTGGTATATTCTGGAGAGTATATACCTTTTGCGGATATTCAACGTAAAAGTGCAAATCTAAAAAGTTTTGCCATATCTAAGCTAACTTCGCTAGCTTGTTCAACAGAAAGAAATTAGTCGGAGTGTAATGTAGACGAACAAAGTATAAATGAAATGCTGATGACCGCTACTGCCCGGTTTGTAGCTACACCATAACCATGCACCTCTTTGTGCATGAAGAGGGTTTGTGACTTTGCCAAACATTTTGAAGCGACTAAAACGGATGACGCAGTCGATACTGCCATTGACTCTGCTTCGAACCCTTGGAACCCGTTTACTAAATGGAACTTGTGTACATAATGTCTTCTAAAATAACTGTCTTCTAACGTAGAATTGCAAATCAATAAATCGTTTTATGACATCGGTGCTGGGCCAGAAAAGGCGAGAAGTTGTCGCAAGGCGTGAGGACACACGGAGTGGTGGAACTTACGGAGAAATATCACGAGCACTTCTCAAACTTTTCGCTATCTCTTCTCTCGAAGCCTTTGTATTTCTGCCCTGGACACACGATGGTTGAAATTGGTGTAGTATACTAAATGTTAAAGTTGAAACCAGAAAATCCAATTTGTCATTTCTTTCTAGAACAGACTCAAAACGAGTGAGCAAGCAGGCTAACATCACTGCGGGCCTTTTGTTTTAAAAATGCTGGGAGGAATGTCGCACGACACCGTGTACGTAACATGATACTGTCTGATTTATTAAGGGTTCCGTGCGTTGTGAGCCATTTGCTGACAGATAAAACGAAAGACGATTAATTGTGACGGTAAACAGCAGCATTTTCGGACACTCGAGTGAGACGTAACCAAGCATTCGATATCGACTACGCAGTAGTCCTTTTATTCTAGATGTCTTTGTCGGACGTTAGATAACCAGCGAACCTTGGACCGCTGTATAAGCCAAAATTCCGGTAATTACGAAGTTATCTTGGACAATCACTGTCATGCAGGTTCCGGATGCTGTTTGGGCAGTCAGTAGTAGAGCCAGGAGGAAACACTTCAACACTGGTGCAGTCGGTCGCCTTCGTTGAAGTCCGTCTAACATTGAATAGACCTTCGGTACACTGGCCAGCAGTTGCAACTTCTGCTGTGAAAGCAACGCTTGCATGTTGGAAAGGTCGAGGTTTCTGTGCCATGAGATACCCTGTCAAGTGTAGCCGAGAAGAAGGCCGGCGGGTATATAGAAACGTTTCGCCGCTGCAGCGCTCTTTGTGGCCCATTTCACGACGCTGCTTTGTTTTCGCACGCTAGCTTCTGATAACCTTATGATAACCTGGAGCACAGACAAACCGCTCTCTGATTACGTCGTGCACGTTTCGTTCGCTCCCGATATGTCCACATGATGTACGAAACCGCTGCATTGTGGTGCACGTCTGCGCTATCCTGACGCCACGGTGTTTGAGGCGCCGTTCACCGCGTACACTGCATGCGCGCATAAATGTAATGGCACTCATGAAAGAATTTCAATGTGAAGCATCGAGCCTCCTTCACCAATAGTGCCGGAATAAAAAAGGAGGCGTTCGCCTGCGTTCCTTCTGTTTAGAGCTTAATCCGTGTTGTCAACGGTCGAATAAAAGTATCGTGTCCTTTTATGGCGTCCGACCTGCAGTGTCTTGTCTTTTTATACTGCCAACGTGAGGACAGAGAGCTCCTACGCTCTTTGAACATCGCAGCCTCGTTGGAAAACAACGGAATCGCGTATGAACTGTGGTACACGTTGTCTCTCAGCTTCGCTCGCGGAGCCAAGTAGCCATGACTGGATATGTCTCGACTCTGAAAGCTTCGGAGTTGTTTCCGCCCGATTAGAACAAGTGTCGGGACTCGGTTGGCACTGAGCGAATTTGAGTGACACTGCATGGCTAATAGCAGCAGTTTTGCTTTGCACGGGGATTGGTCGGTTTCTATTGAGACAGCCAAATTTAAAAAAAAAAACAAAAACACATGGACGCTTATTGATGTTATGCTGGACTTTGTGTTTTCTACGAGCGTAAATAAAAAATTGCCCGCACTCCGGTTATCTTAAAATGTCCGTTGACCACGCTGTCTTATCAGCACTTTTCGTGCGAGGTCACTGACTCCTCATGTCACTGATGGGCAGGTTTCAAGATGTTACGTCAGTTCAGTTGCGACTGAGGTGTGAAAAACTGGATACATCGGTAAGTGTCGTTATCCTGAAGCGTAGCTTATTTAGTGGCTCTAGGGCCTAGGCTCACTAAATAAGCTACGCTTCAGGGTAACGACACTTACTCATCTTGTAGCTTAAAATCATGATGGCCAGTTATCTCAAGCTTTGTCTAAAAACGCAGGAAACACTTTTCCGCCCTCCAGATCGGGGAACGGAGTGCCGATACTCTAAGCAGCGTATTTAGTGGCCCTAAGCTTCCCCACTTGTGGTTTGCACAAGTGGGGAAGAGATCGTTTTTCTTGTCTGAGGTTGTGTGTTGTGCGGTATTTATCGAAGACTTTGTGTTCACCATAAAGAAAATGTCTTGTCGCAAAGAAGTGTGTTTGAATGAATATTTAAATTTAAAGGAGCTGTACAACCATTTCAGTGCTTTGCCTAAATAATTTAGGAGTTGGTGTCTCGACCTTTCTGAAGTAAAGAACAAAAAACCTCTTTTGCCTGCATGTCCTAGTTTTTATTTTAAAAATGGACAAAGATTGATGTTTTCGGCGCCTCTCAACTCCTTCACCATCTTCGGAGTCACGTGCGCTGTGATGTCAATGGGGGACGCGCGGGATCCGGTGAAGCACTCTCTTTCTCTAGAACCATCAGTGGGCAGCGAGAACTCACCCGCTCGCTACCACGTGACCACGTGCTTGCTCAGCCAACACCTCAACATGGCAAAAGGAGGAAAATCTCATCCGGGTCCGGCCATCCCCGTCCCTTTCCCCTCCGGCTTCTGGCGGCTGTTCGCGGTACCAGATAGAGCTGACGGTTTTGTTGACCTCGGATAGATGGCGCCACTAAACCTCCGTATAATAAAAGTTTTTACGACAAGATTTATGGAAAAGTTACCTTTTATCGAGCAGGTATTTGCACAACTTGTTATCTTCCTACAAGACCCCCATTGACGTCATACCGCGTGGTTCTCATGGCCGCCGCTCGCGGCTGCAGGTCGGGGAATATTTTAAGTTTTGCCTCGCGATTACGCGGCGGAATCGCAACATTTCGAAAGAAGGAGGTGTGTTTTCTGTCCTTTGTGACAATAAAAACAATGTCGAAAGTAGAAGGTGCCAATTCTTTCAACGTTAAAATCGTTGCACATCTCTTTTAAGGTAAGACGCACAAGTGTCAGCCATACTATATAGAAGAAATCGGACGCCCCTCCGCGTCCACGGCTGATGACGACATGGAGCGTGCATGTGACCTGATTTTGTCGGATAAACGAATGGCAGTGAATTATGTGACAAATCATTTGCAAATCAGACAAGGTTTCGCTCACGCAATAATCCATTAAGGGCTTGGGTCTGGAAAGGTTTTGGTGAAAATAAATGCTACAGCCAGATTGCGAATAATCATTTTAATGAGGATTCAAAATTCGAACACCGCGAGATTTGACGCTCCAGATTTGTGCGCCGAGTAATCCATCAAAATCCTCGGGTTGGTGAGCCATCCATCGGAAATATTTACTTCATCGTGCCCCAAAGCTTCCAGCCTCATTTTGACACCAACATAATCGTCGGTGAGTCCGTATTTTTGTATCAACGACCATCTTTATCTCCTCGGCAGCGGTGTTGCCGCTAAGCCTCGTTAAGCTTCCTGCCCATACGTGGCGCTCCGCTATGACGGACGCCGCCTCCGCGGCGTCAACGCAGGCACCGCCTGCCGCATCACGCTCCGAACAATACTCAGACGCCGCAAACATCGACGCCGAATGGGACTCGGCTTGCCCCACCGATAATATCTCCCTCTGAGATACGGATTGCGGATGCATAATGCCCGGCAAAAACCGAAAACAGCGTCCCGTAACTCGAACGCAGCATGAACTCCACACCATTGTGGTACAAGTCCCCCTCTTGGAACATATCAAACTGTGTGCACCCATGCGGTAACCATGCGGAGTTCTACATAGTTGGGTTTATTCAGAGTATAGTCTGCTGCAACAGAAGATCAGCGGTAGATGCTCCAGCCTCCACCTCTTGCGCGAGCTTGCTACCTTCGATGCCACTTCGGCGCACGCAAAGTCAAACGCGTGTCGGAGGGCAAGGAGCGCGTGTTGGGAGCGGAGCCTCTACTGCTGATCTCGCGTGGCAACAGACTTCTGGATTAGGGCTGGTTATAGAACCGGCGAATGGCCTTAATCTCGTCGATGATGGCGTTGGTGACGAGGTCGGCGAAGGCGAGCACCACGACGAGCGCGAGGCACACCCCTGCGGCGATCATGACATGCTGCTTGATGAAGTTGCGCGCCGAGTCCGGGCAGTTAGTCCGATGCACCAGGTACCAGGCGTCCGATTCAGTCATGTTGAGGACGTTGCGCCCGCAGAAGACGCTCACCAGCCGGCTGCTCGAGGCGTTCTTGCAGCACGAGTATGGCACCGAGCACCGCTCGAAGCCCGGGTTCGCCGTGCTGCAGTTGAAGTAGCTGGATCGAAAACATCGACAGTAAGCCAACGTCACTCAGGGTCTTTAGAGACTCCCTTTTAAAAAAACCTGCATGCCGTTCAGGTCATTTTTGACAAAATGCTTGCACACAGAGTAAGTTATGCTCCGTGTAAGCTGGTGTGCTCCTTACGCACCTCGTGTATTTGTTTACACCCCAAATGTGCCCGCTTTTGCTTCCTTTCGACCTCAGCCGATGACGGCGCGCACTTGGGTGCCTCGTCACGTCCTCTGTGGTGCCCTTTGGTTGGCGTGCCACTGTTCCGATGCACCGCATTTTGAAGGACTTGCTTCAAGTATAATCTCAGAGTTGTGAACCAAAGATGGACTTTACAGCGAACAGAAGGCGACTCGGTTGGCTGCTAGTCAGCGCGGGCATGGTGGCCGAAGAAGGCAACTTTGGGAAGGCCAGCCTAACAAAAAAAAAGCAACAGCTTAAGATGGTCCCAGCTTTTAAATTATTACAGAGGATGATTAAGCCAAAATCATCAAACAAAGCAATTCGGCATTTAATTTATTATTTTCGTACTCACGACCTGCTCACATGTGCTCAGATGCTACACAACCTCGGCGTTGACACAGTACAAACCGATGCACAGACAGTGGTTCTCGGTGGAAAACCAGCAATATTATTCGAACTAAATTGCGTACCTCTCAACATGAAAAATACTAGACACACGCCAAAAACAGGCAATAAAAATAGAAACATTCTACAGGAATGAGAGAAGCGAACATAGGTCCCGCCAGTGAGGGCGGCGAAGCGGCCTCTTGCGTAGTCGGCAGAGGCAAGGAACCCGTGCGGCTTGGATGACATTGGCGATACTCCTCGGCACCACCGCCATTTACGAGCACACACGCGTTCGAAGACATGAAGCGGTGCCTCAGTAAGAACGTGCGACCTCTTCCTGCGCTCAACGAACTGCCGCTCGCTGTCTGCTCAAAACTCGCTTTACTCGGCTGTCGGAAACCGCTGGCCTTCGAGAAGAGCACACTGACTTCTCTTTGAATTCGACCTTTTGTAGAAACATCGGTTCGAGAGTAAATGGATCTGGTGCCCTTTCTCTCGCTTCCTTCTGGCCGAGCTGAGGGGAAGGTGGTATCTTTTTGTCGACTTCGGGGCAGAAGATAACACACGATGGGGGACAAAAGAGAGTTTGGGGGAGCTGTATCTAGGTCACAGCGGCTCAATGAGCAAACAGGATGTAGCTGACATTTTGCGTGTCTAACGGGTGGGAGAGGCTTTCGTGCACCTGAAGCGCCCAGTCACCTACCAAAAACAAGAGGATAAAGCACAGGAAGGGGCCTCGTCCCAGACCAAGCCGACCTTGGCGTGCGCGCTCCCAGAAAGACCAGCTTGACCAGCACGATTTGGAGTTTGACCAGCTTCACCAGCTTGTCTCTCAGTCATTAAAACTCTGGTTTGGGCTAGCTTGAACACATTGGTTTGGGCCAGCTTGACCACATTGGCTCCATGGAAAACCAGTTAGGACCAGACTGGCTCCCAGCAACACCAGATTGAATCTGAAACCAGATTCTAGTTAGAGCATGCTGATTTTTACTTAAACCGGACTGACCAGCTCAAATTCTAGCTAGCCAAGCTTAAGCCAACTTGATTGCAAGTTAAATCAGTTTAATTACCACAATGGCCAGTTTGACCAGCTTAACTACCAGCTTGACCAGTTAGATTTTCTTGCTGTTTTTTTTTTCAATAGGGCATGCCGCCAAGTGATTGGACACAATCGCTGCGTCCGTTTGGTAGGGCCCTCGGATGTTCACGCTCGAGATCGAGTCCAAAGATTGCGGCCGCGGTCCGTCTCACAGTCGTGAAACTTTCGCATAATATGACGCTACCGTCGATCCAAACTTTATTGCCCGGTCGGTATAAACGTCGGCGCGATCGTGTTTAAGCCGGGCCTTCAAAACTCATGCTGTATCGCTTGACCTGGTCACGTGACGCTCATGACATCACTACCACGCCGCTTTTTCGCATCGCTTCTTCGTGTCATCTTTTTTCGCCTCTTATCTGAAGAAGAAATTAACCGGTTAAAACCGGGAGTTTCTTTACGAAAGCTTTGAGAATACTGCAATATGGCGGAACAGCCAACACCGTGAGACATGGACATCTCAAATCACGTACAGCTGCTTCTAAAAAACGAGACTGTAAATTCGATTGCGTGATCCGGCCCGTCCCACCTTGGAGCGTTTTCAGCTCTGCCAGAAAAGGGCTTAATTTTAAAATGTATCTTTTACGCTGGTGTAATTGAATCCACCATGTTAGTGACTTGCCTTCTGCTCTTTCCATCGTGTTAATTTCACACCGTAGAAGTGTTAAATCAACAAAATCTTTCAGCCTTTCCACTCGGTGAAGAAGGAAGACCAGCGAAGCTGTACTATGATGGGACGACCTCAAGCACGACTTCTTGGACGACCTCAAGGAGGACGCCTAGAGGACGACATCTAGGACGACCTGAAGGACAACGTCTATGACGACCTCAAGGATGACTTCTAGGACGGCCTCAAGGACAACTTCAAGGACGACCTCAAGGACGACGTCTAGGAAGACCTCACGGACGACTTCTAGGACGACTTCTAGGATGACCTCGAGGACGACATCTAGGACGACGCCCAGAGAAATTCAGCCTTTCTACTCTGGTGAAAACCAGAGTGGAAGGCTGGAAAGGTTGCAGCCATCTATGAATCTATGAGCGAGGCCGGCAAGTCTGGTTGCCGCAGTCACTCATAGATGGCGATAGCTGTCCAGAGTTTTGTGTCGACATTTCTTTGCGGGGGACACGATCCTCGGAAAACTAGCCTCTAACAGCTCTTCGGTAAAAATAAATAGCCACCAGCACTGCGGAATGACGCCACCGGATGTTTATATTTTTATGTGAATGAGCACATTGTTCGCTGATCAAGCGCAATGAGTGCGAGCTCAGAGGACTTCGTCTCTTTCCAAATAGTAAGCTCTGGACGTGCCCAGTGCACGTACAGTGCCCCTCAAACTTAACGCCGCCACTAGATAGTCCGGTTTATTCACTTGTTGAGCTATTCCTGAACCTAGTGGTCGAACTACTTGGTGAACATTCGCGTCCCCGATGAGAACCCAACCAGGGGAAGGTATTCGAGCAGCTGCAGCGACCAATTTATCTTTGGGTAGCATGCAATAGATAAATATTTGCATAACCGGGGTGTAACCGAGTGGCGGCGTTAAGTTTGAGGGGCACTGTACATTCGTGCTAGTTTTTAGAAAGCAGGGTGCTCGTATACAAACTAAAAAATGGCGCCTGTAGCTCATAATTTCTCTGGAATAACAGTCGGCGAGTGGAAACTGACTGTAGCACACTCTAAAAAAAAAGGTGTAAAAGGGTGTATCGTTACACCCATTGTCCCATATAATACACCCCAAAACTTCAATCCCACGTACAGCGCCCTACACCCGGAACAGACGGCCCCAAACTTTACGAGGGGCTTGATAACGGTGCGATATAACTTTTAAATAGCTAAAGTACGGATCGAAGACCACATAAAGAAAACACCGAGCTTTTACAGAACGGCCAAGAAAACCCCGATTATTTCTTTTTTTTTTTTGTAGTCAGTAACACGGTACATTAGCTATTTTAATAAGTTGTACCACACGGCTATTAAGCCCCTCGTAAAATTTGGGGCCGTCTGTTTGACTGTAGGGCGCTGTACGTGAAATTGAAGTTTTGCTGTGTATTATATGGGACAAAGGATGTAACAATGCACCCTTTTACACCTTTCTTTTTTTTTTAGAGTGCATTTGTCACGTCTGGGTCACCAATTGGTAGCGTGTTCGAAGTTGAGGACGGAAGAAATAGTGCTACCGACTTCAAGCTTAAGGGAAACGTTATGCTTAATCCAGGTCACCGTGATCCAGGTGCCGTCGGGCTCGTGCCAACACGAGGACACCAGGAGCGTCGTCGTTCTTGTTGCTGGAGACGCTGGACGCTAACAGAATAGCTCCGTCCCCTGCACCCTACTGCAGGCATGCAGTGAGGGGCTATCTGTAGCCGTCAGTACGTCTAGCGTCGCCACGAACAAAAACGACGACGCTACACGTGTTGGCACGAGCGCGACGGCACGTGGATTAAACGGAACGTTTTGACCTAAGCTCGGAGTCGGTCGCACCATCTCTTCCGTCCTCAACATCGAACACGCTACATTGTCCTATGGAAGTAGAATATTTAGGCAAATAACGAGGTCGAAACCAAGCGTTTAAGCCTAGAAAGGCATTCTCCTCTGTTATACTGAGCATGATCGTTAGCGCACAACATGCCATGCTTAACTTTACATGGGGCAGTTTATTTATATATTTTCGTCAGTGAAAAACTTTTTCAGCCTTGTCAGTCGCCGAGATTGCAGCTGTTGGCTAAGCGAGTGTTCTACAGGAAAGTGTGGACGCACAGCAGCAATTTCTTTAAAGCTTACACAGTAAAATGGCATATGGTTGAAGAACCCCTAAGGTCGGAGAACTGTCGAAATTCGTTCGACTTGGTTACACCGAACATGATTGTAAACTTGAGACTGCGGCAAAAAAGAGAACACAACAGAAGGTAGAAAAAGAGGAGGCAACGTCTCAAAGCTGAGTTTGAGACGTTGCCTCCTCTTTTTCTACCTTCTGTTGTGTTCTCTTTTCTGCCCCAGTCTCAAGTTTACAATCATGCTCAACTTACACCAGCTCGCCTGCACTCTGACTATTTTTTCGTTAGTGGTTACACCGATTGCGTAGTCAAGTCAGCGTAGCTAAACAATAATTAAAAAAAAAAAACACACACGCACCAGCGTAGCTAAGTTGGCGAGGTGGCCGGGATTCGGTCCCCTGCCATAGCAAGATTCTAGAATGTTTGAGAATCATGTAGTTTGTTCATGCTCACAATATATAATCCCAGAAGAACCGAGGTCGAATGTCTGTTAAAGGCCGGCGTACAACCTCAGTTTTCTGCAGGGGAGATAATCCTCTCC